TGCTTAGGCACAAATGATCGGGACGAGTTAGTTAAGGAATTTAATCGCATTGTCGGTAGTGGCGTATCAACCGGTATATGTAAATTCTTTTTGGATGTAGCTAATTGGTAAATTAATTTTCTAACATTTAACAATACTTAGGAGCTTACCTAAAGCAATCGGAGCTTATTATGACTTCAACTTTGAAAGCAATATTGACGCCGCAACTTCATCCACACCCTCGGTCACATCACAATCACAAAGGTACGATGCTAGACATCATCCATCTCCGCATTCTGGTACCAGACAAAAGTCTCCCCTTATATGGTGTGTACAAAATACCGGTACATCTTCTTGGCCAGATGGATGTTATCTAACCGTCGAGGTAAAGGCTAATATCTTTTTGTCACGCGACATTTAGACTCAGCTAGACTTATCAACGATATCAAACTGTGATAACGCTGTTGTGTGGCTACCTGTCCCCGCCGAATTCCGCAAACCTCTTACCGAATTAACTCCTGGTAGTTTCGCGCATCTTGTTGTGGAAATACCCTTTCCTACCGACGATATTCGTCAACGATTAGCCCAAACTAATATACCCATCGTAGGTGCTTTCAAACTCTGCTTGCCTAATGGTGACCGCTTTGGAGGTAACATTTCAAACGGCCACATTCTCTTTCCTTATAGCTGTCATAATTATGGCTATTTTCTGTTTTGCAGAACTTTTATATTGTTCCATAATTCCCGATGTGATCACTGGTTCTTTGTTGTTCCGTGCTGGTACCCCTGATATGCCTATTTTACCTCCTGAACCCCATTGTGGCCATGTAAGTTATCGCTAGCTATTATTTCACTTTGGCATTTCAAGCTTTTATTTCTAATACAGTGGTCAATTCATACGCTTATCATGCACTAGGAGTTGTTTGTAATTGAGACGAAACACGTGTTCAAAGATTACGTTTTCCAATTCTTATTTTGGACATGAAAGAATTTTCTGCATTCTTGTGTCCATTCGATGAAATTACATAGATCAACTTCAAACCTTTAATCGTTAATTTATTAACGTTCACGTTTGCCATTGTGTATCACGATTCCTCACAGTAAGGCTTTATGTGAGAATCTTACTCTGGCTAGGTGTCCATTAAGAACTAATGATTTCTCTAAAGGTTAACATGAAGGAACATTACTACCTTAATGACATTAACCAGAGTTGAGTTGGACGACATATTGGAATGGAACGCAACAGGTATCGGTACTAAGCGATTGAAATCTTATTGTGATTGTTTATAGCTCTTAAGCAGAACCAATTTTGTCATCATCTGTTGATTTTGTTAACATGAGCTAAATTTCTGTGAACCTATTCCTCAATCTGTTACATTATAGATAATCTTTAATTCTTTCGCCATGGATATTTGAAATACAATCGATTCATTTTTTTGATTTCATTTTCCATACATAGAATATTATGAGCCTTTTTTCATGTCTTTTCGGTTTATTCTCCAGGAGTCATCTTCAGTCCAGCAACAGCCGATGGAAGAGGATTTGTAAATCTGTTCCTTCTTTTTCATCTTTCTGAGTTGGCGAGCAGGCAGCGCTTTCAATTCTCCATCTGATAATGATGATCTACCTGACAGGAATGATCTACTTGTTTTCCTTTTCTTATTTTCCTTCTCCTTCCCTCGTTCTCTTCATGCTTCTTGTTGCTGCAGTAAGGGAGGGGGGGGGGGGGGGGGGGGGAGGGTGTGCTGACTTTAAGGCCACTCTTGGCATCCCACTCCTAATATTTTGTTATAAATGCAGTGCATAGACCATTTCTGCGTTACCTATGTAGTATTGAAAGTGCATTTAGAGGCAATTGGTTTGAATATCGTGGATATTGATAGATTATTTATATAGGTTCGCGTATGTGAGATGTCTAAATGAAACGCTTATAAAATGCAACCTTGGTGCCCTTAGCACAAATTGGAACCATTTTTAAGCTCTTGCTCTTCCAGCTCCTATAATTCTCATCCGAACTAAACTTTCTTAAGTAGAATGTGGGATTATTAGACGAAAGCTGTATAATGCAAATTAATGTGTTTCTGAAGGCAAATAGCCAGAAAGGAAAGGGAGCGCTAGCTAATTTTTTGGCCTTCATGCTGGTGACCGCGGTGCCTTAGAATAAGGTGGGAAGTGATTGAGCGCTGAGATCACTAACGATCACCTTTCTGGCTTGGTCATGAGAAGTATTAATAGTAACGAGTAGAACCTCTGGCCCGTTGGGGTTCTTGTATTATTTTGATGAGGTGCTTCTTACATAGAATGGACGGAGACAAGCATGAGGAAATTGTTAACAATGAATATTCGAAGAATTTATTAATGGCGCTGAAAAGTACAATTTTGGTAACTCCGGAGTACTTTTAGACTTAACATCCCAATTAATAACAAGATTTGCTATTTTGAACAGCCACTGTTGACAGTTAGTGATAATAAGTGGGCTGACCAATCGCAGCACCTGATTTTTCAGATGGTCAATGATAACGTGATCGCTGATTTGACCGGCACTTACGTGCATTCAAGGTTGGAGGCAATAAACCGTTAAAATGAGAAATATTTCGAAAGGAGTCCTATGTTACTAATGAACTGACGTAGTACTTGTATTAATAAAGTACTAGTAGCAGTGATGAGGGTTTTAGTTACGGAAGCAATGGTTGTGCAACTAGCGGTGATAAAGTTGTATTAGCAGAAGTGATAGTAATATTACCGGAAGTAGAGATATCGGCTTCAGTAATGCTCGTAATAGGAGTGCTAGTAGCAATGTAAATAACAGCTGTAGTGGAGCTATTAATGCTAGTAGGTGTAACATTTTAATAATCGTAGTAGGGGTGCGCGATAGACTTACCTCCACGTGGTGCACCCTGGACAACGTATCTTCGTACGGCAAAAAAGTCTATCACTCGGCATTTGATTTGACTTCGATTTATTATGATTAGCTTGAAAAAGGGCTATAAGAAAAAATTCGCCCTCGTCAGGGGGAATCACAACGTCTTCAGATCCTCCAGTGGAATGCTGGAGGGATGTCACAGGACAAAAAGATCCAAGTACAGAAAATCCTACAAACCCATGATGTAGACATTTTCACAATTATGGAAGCAAACATTTCGGATAACAAACTAAAGTACTTCCAATTCCCAGGTTACACCCTGCACCTTCTACCTAAATACCGGCAAGTTGCAAGTGGAATTCTAACTGGAGTAAAAGAAGGCCTCACCTCACACTACGATCTAATCATGAGTATGGGCTCGACACAAGACATATGTGAAATAATCAGACTAAATGTTTGGAAATTTCAAAACCAATTCAAAATATATGCAGTCTATAATCCACCCCAGAACTGTCCCAACTTTGACTTTCTGAACATCTCACACAAGACTTCAACGCCCATTCCACCAGATGGGGCTACAAGGATACAAACGTAGCTGGAAAGGAAATTGAAGACATGCTAAACAGCAATCCTCTGGAAATTATTAACAGCAATGAGGATCCGGCTACATATTTGCACTACAATGAAACCAGAACAACTCCTGACTTACTCTTGGCTTCAAGCGACATCAGCGAGGATACACGACGCAAAATAATTGACGATCCTGGTTCTGGTCACAAACCAGTCATTGCTAGTATTACCATGACAAGGAAAGTGCCAACTAAGCTATCATGGAACTTCATGAAGGCTGACTGGCCTAGATTCACAAACCTTTTGGACAATGAACTTCACACAAGTCCCCTCAACTTCAACCAACATCCTGAGAAACGTTGCAATGATATCACGAATATTATGATCAGATGTGCAAAGAAAACTATTCCACGAGGCAAGACTAACCACTATCGAATGTGTTGGTCTAAACACCTTGAGGAACTGAAAGGAAAGAGGGACGTCCTTCGCAACACTGCTGATCAGACTGGAAGAACAGAAGACATACAAGCCTGGAGACGACAATCAGCTGTCCTAAGTCGAGCCATTTTACAAGCTAAACGCACTTTCTTCAACAAGTTCATCTCAAATATCAACTATCAAAGTGATAGCCAACGCACTTTCAAATTCCTGGGTAACCTCCAAAACAACAGGGAAAGACCCAAGAAAGAACCAATACGTTTAAACAATGAACTGCTTACCACCGACTCCGAAATAGCTAATTGGTTTGCAAATTTCCATTCCCACAAGCAAAAGAAAAACCCGTTTGTCAGAAAATCTTCAAGAGATTTAAAAATACAAGTAAGAAGGCTGGGTGAAATTAAGGAAGACATAACAACACCAAATAATGTACTTACTGAACCATTTAGCCCTTGCGAACTTAATGCTGCGATAAAACAGTTCAAGTGCAAAAAGTCTCCTGGCGAAAACGGTATTCATCCAGAATTTCTAATTANACTGCGCATTCCCATGGATAAGTTCTTTAGCACCTATGAGAATAGACCAAGAATCTGAAAACGCAATCTGATCTAATACAGAAAGCCATAGAACTGAAGAAAGCATTACAAATCGATGACAAACCAAAAAGCCTCTCTCTCCCCATGAACCCATTAGCAGACACTGATGTAGTGTGTTGCACATAACTGCTTGACTTCTTCAGGGAATCAAACACTCTTCCAGAGCAAATGCGCTCACTGGCCCTTGAGACAATCAACGTCAACTATCCTGGAGATCAATGGCTCCAAGTCTTCACTGATGGGTCATACATAGAAAACCAAGCAAACATTTGTGCAGGTGTCTTTTCTGAACTCTTCTCTTTCTATGCAGTAGCGGGACACAATAGATTCGCTTTTGAAGGGGAAATAGAGGCCATTAGGATAGCACTGTGCCAATTATGTTGCCTGGATACGAAATTCACCAAAGCGGTGTTACTCTCGGACTCACAGTCAGCAATAAATTCAATTGGAAACAGAGAGCCACCCAAAACAGCTGAGATAAAGGAATGCAGATTTAAACTCTATGAGCTGCTGAGAGAGTAAAACAAAACAGTGGTCCTACAATGAATTCCTGGTCTCTGTGGCATTAAAGGCAATGAGCTTGGTGACACATCTGCTAAGAAGGGGACAACGATTTTGCAATGCATGGACCGGCCAATGTCTTTCCACACAATGAAGGCCTTAATCAGAAGAGAATTCTAGACCTCAAGGTGCAACGAACTCAAAGCTCGAACAAAGGAGAAACAGTGGACAGTGGCACTCTCCGGCATACCCGACTGGCCAAGAATCGAAGCCGTTGCTGAGTTTAGACCACGTACCGGACACGGTTGCTTGGCAAAACACCTTCACAGATTGAAAGTATACACTCAACCCACATGCCCCTTATGTAACCTACAGGAGGTAATGGAGAAGACCCATCTGATTCGGTGTCCAGCCCTAAAGACAAGGACGGAAAGCCAGAGATACTGGGAAGCAAGAAGATAGCTAATGAATTGCTATTAATTAACTGCTATATATGTACCCCCCCCCACCCTTGGGGAAAGCTGAAGTCAAAGTTTAAGGGTTAATGATAAATATCATAAAGCCTGCCATTTGAAATAAATAAATACATATAATTGTAGTAGTATTAGAAATAACTGTCCAACGAGCCGACTAGCGCTTAATTTTGAAATGTGTTATCATATAATGGGTACGAATACGCAGGAATTCTTTTAAGCAAGGGAGTACGAAAACCTATAGACCAATAGAGCAGCAATATCGGGAGAGATTGGAGGAAAGAATACATTTACAATAAATCGCAATAATTTCCCTAACAAGTGTGAAATATAACCCACACTTGACCTGATCAGAGTCTCATGACTATTAGAAACAAGTGCACTTTTGGAAGAATTGCTACCCAGAGTTCCTGCAACAATATCACATGAAAAATAAATTCTTTCCAAAATATTAAAGAGCTCTGGGCGAAAGGTAAAAAAATACGAAACAGTAAAATCAAAAGCAAGTTAATTTAAAATCATATGTAGATAACTTTTGCGAACGGCATCAGCAAAAGGATCGGATTTTAAATTGCAAACGTGGTATTGTAAATCTCAAGCAAGCACGAAATAATAAATGGAATATAAATGTGAAAGTAAACAACAAATAGTCACCTAGAATGCATTACTGTGTTAGTTTGGTGATAAATGTGTTTTCATCCATTTCAAATGGTAGGCGTTTTGATAGTTATCGTTACCCCTTTAGCTGACTTCGGGCTTCACATCGAAGTGAGAAAAGTTGGAGAAGAGGAACAGGAGAGTGAATCACGGATGTAAAAGAGGCAGACAAACACAAAGACAGAGAAAAGGGAAGATGGGAACCGTGGAAGTAGTCGTATATGACATACAGTAGGATCATATTAGTTTGAAGTCAGAAGTCAACTCCTGCTTTATAGAATTTTTTTTGCCGTATGAGTATACGTTGAAAAGGACGCACCACGTGGAGGTAAGTCTATCGCACACCCCAATATGTTATCATTGTGCTTGACCAAAGCCTTCATAAACACAGCTCTATGAAGTCACCGAATGCAAATGTTTTTATCAACATATAATTAGAATATAATTAACTAATTTCCACTTCAAATATTTTCGTAAAAGTACTTCCGAACGTGTTGTCATTTCGAAAAGAAGAATTTTATTTGATGTATAGCGATTTGTGCTTATTTATCCAATTATTCATTGAAAATAGAAGGTATGACACTTAAGGAAGGACCTTCATATTCAGAGGCTCTACCCGGATTCGTTTTAGTCACACACAATTTGAAGTACTAACTTGAACTTCGTGACAATTTTCATTCCTTCCATACCTTAAAATTGTTAGTCTGCTCAGTTAACATTTTATCCCCCTATAAGAATGATTATAAAATTTAATAATGTACGCGATTTGGGAGATATTTCCAATTTAATATTATTAGGAAAAGATTAGCGATTTAGATAAGTAAATAATTGGAATATTTTCACTAGTGAAAATTACTATTTTGTACCCAATTAAAGAAGAATGCCGTTGAAATTATTACAGTTTAACAATTGCCACACGCCTAAAAAATCAATCTATTTGGATTTAGTCTGATCTAAATTTCCACAATATGTTCGCGTATTCAGTGTTACAAAAAACCAGGAGTATTTGTTTGAAAAAAGTGGCTTTATTAACATAATACTGTTACCTACGATTCTCTGTAGGATATCGCAAACGACACTAAAAGGTTTTTAAGAAACTGCACTGATAACAGGGGAAATCTGATAAAATAACTAAATCTTCATTTCAAAATATGCTAATTGAAATGCTAATAAGAGTTATATATATATATATTCTTTGGTAGAATTGTTATTTTGTACTTATTAGAAGTCTTTTAAAATATTTCACAAATTTTACCGCTTACTAAATAATTCTAATTTACAAGCGGACAAGCAATTAGAGATTTGACAGACGCAATTCCTTCCAAGGTCCTATTACCTTTAGCGAAATTGAATATGAACCAAAAAACTAAGAACAGAACCGGGATTTGCGGACTAGCTAGGTTTAATTATCTAGCTATTAATAGCATGGGCTTAGGCTTACAGAACAATGTAGACCCTCAGGGATATAAATTGTTATACTACGACAGGAGAGAGTTCTGTTTCGCTTTGCACATATGTATATCACAAATTTTTGTAGCAATTACGAAATTTTTCTTGCTTAATTAATTCACTCGTACAAAATTAGCCATAAATAGCATTCATCAGAAACAATCAAACACGATAACTGTACCCATGTACAATAAAATGATTCCTTATCTACACTTAGGCATCTACACGGTTGACACCTTTAATCGGATAGAAAGACAGACAGACATAATGAGTGTCATGTGAATTTGCGTTTTGTTACAGAACATAATATTGGGCATCAATATATCAAGGAAAATTTACGGCTTCGCTACCTACTGTTAGCATCTCAAGTTGTTCATTACCATATGTAGGTTTGTTTCAGCTTACATATTAACTTGGGCAACATAAAACGAATTTTCGCCTAGACGTGAACTAGAGTGAAATTATGACAAAATCTTACAGCGTTCATTAAAGCGAGGAATCAATATGATTAGTTACACAATACTTATGAAATTAATTTAACAAATGCATTATTGTAAAGACGGTTTTATAATTATTTACATCAATTTAACCTCTCTGAAAATTAGCATAAAGTGTTTTCCTTGGCTAACAAGACAAGAATTTGCATTAACATGTGGGAAGCTTTGTTAGGGTAAAGAAGACGGAGAGTAGAATTATTCGTTTAAGCATATACATATTTACTTACGCAAATAATATTTTATGAATTATGCTACTCAAATTGCTCTTTATTACAATATTTATGAAATATGTTGAATTATGATCTGTTTAAATGCAAAACATTGAAAACAAGAGTACATTAATTTTAAAATTTATTGAAGAGCATAAAATTTACTTAATTTTCCTTTTTCATATGCTATATATGTAAATAGATAATATCTTGTTATTCCAAATCAATAAGTCGGCAGCTCAGTTCAATATAGCATACATGGATAAGGATACTGCAGCCTCGACTCTTCCTCCTAAGGAATTGTCTCTCTTTAAAAGGATTGTTGTATGTTCTCATTAGAAGAAATTTTAAGCACTATTTTCATAGAAATATTACGACCAAAAGCAATATAAAACAGGTCTGAAATTTGCCAATCAAATTCTCAACAATCCTAAATTCGCTGATCATGGAGGTAATGTCAACTTTTTTCGTCATTTAATTCCCCTTAGAAACATTGTCGATGAAGGGCATTCTTCTTAACTGTTTGGGTAAAAAGGAAGAGGCTCGTGAATTAGTTAAAAAGGGTCTTCAGTCTAATATCAAGAGTTTCGTGTGTAAATCCCAACATTATAAATAATTTCCCTTTTTAGGCTGGCATATTTTTGGCCTTATTAAAAAATCGGATCGGTTGTATAACGAAGCTATTCGTGCCTATATTCAGGCACTTAGGTTGGATCCAAAAAATCTTCAGGTTCTTCGTGATCTTTCTGTGCTTCAAATGCATATTCGTGATTTGGATGGATGCTTAGAAACTAGAAGCAAACTTCTCACGGAAAGGCCAACCCAAAAGGCCTCTTGGGTCGGATATACTGTTGTTCAACACCTGAGGGGACATCTTGATACGGCTGCCACTGTTATTCGAGAGTTTTTAAAAGTTCAAACTGCTATTGAGCCTTATAATTATGAGCATAGCGAATTGCTTTTGTACTATATTATGATTTTGAAGGAGAATAAGCAGTACGAAGAGGCCCTTAATTTCATGGTTGAACATGCCAAAGAAATTGTTGACAAAGTTTCCTATTTGGAGACTTATGGTGAGGCTTTATTTGGAATAACGTAATTCCATTATAGCCGATCTTCTGCTTAATTTGGGCCGCTATGATGATGCTGAAAAGACAGTATGGGAGTTACTTGAACGAAATCCTGATTGTGTACTTTACTATGAAATATTTTACAAAGTTGCTGAAGCTAAAGACAAATGTGAAATTTCATCACTTGATAAACAAAAAATGCTCAAAGAGTGCATCAATAAGTTTGCTTATGCTCGTCTTCCAAAACTGCTCTTCCTTGATACATTAGAGGGTAATTTCTCATTTTTGGGGTATTTTTGCCTAAATAGGCGACGAATTTTCTTTGCACGTTGATTTATTCATGCGAAAGAATCTTCGTAAGGGTGTGCCAAATCTTTTCATTCAATTGAAACGTTTCTATAACACCGAGGAGAGAGTGAAAACCTTAGAGACCCTCTATCTCACTTATCGATCGAATCTTGACGCCCATAACACCTTAGGACCCATTACGCACGGGATGCTGGATTCTAAGGAATTAGCTGATACATCAATCGAGCCACCATCTTCATCTCTTTGGTTAAATTATCTAATTGCCCAGCACTTTAACTACATGGGTCAGACTCAGGTTTGTCATTGAACACTTTATCCAACTCTCTTATAGCGGGCATTAGATGTGATTACAAAGGAAATCATGACCAATCCCACGATTGTTGACCTGTACACTCTTAAAGCTGAGATTTATCGTGATGCTGGTGATGTTATAACAGCTAGCAAGTGGATGGATGATGCTCAGGCCCTAGATACCGCTGATCGATTCATCAATGCTCAGTGTACAAAGTGTATGGTCCAGGCGCATCGCATTGAAGATGCTGAGGTCATGGCAGCTAAATTTACCCGTGGCAGTACAACAGCCACCCAGTATTTGACGGAAATGCAGTGTATGTGGTTCTTGATCGAGACTGCTCGATCTTATTGGACTATGCAGAAGTACGGTGACGCTCTCAAATATTGCCATGAAATTGATAGGGTAAGCTTGTCTATTTACTGTTTGATTCTCTATTGCTCTCAAGGTCTACACTGCTATTCTCGAGGATCAATTGGATTTTCACTCCTATTGTTTGAGAAAGGGCACTCTTAGGTCGTATATTGAAACGATCAGGCTTGAGGATAAACTTCGTGATCATCCTGCTTATTTTGATGCTGCCTGTCTTGCAGTTGAGGTTAGTTAAAACAGTATTAAAATGTCTTGTTTTATGTACTATTTATTGATCTTGGTATTTTACCATTTAGATATACCTCCATCTTCATGTCAATCCATTGGGAGCTGAAAACGATGAGGATAACCAGCAAAATTGTAAGTAATTGTGGTATTTAGCTTTTAATAAATTTAAGTTTATTGATTACATTTTTTGCAGTCACTTTATTAACATCGATATCTTGGTGAGCGTAGCCCTAATCAATATGGTGTCAGGCTATTGGTTTTAGTGTTATATGGCCTTTACATCCTCCCGTTTAATCTGCTCTAAGACCATTTATTCTTTATGGGATTCGTTTACCTTAACAGCGTATATTGAGAGATGAATCTGCAAATCGCCTTTATTGCTATTCGATAAATTAAATTAAGCAGTTCTTTATTAAATTCCCGAGTACACATTCGCGTTTACAATTTCAGAATTTCCCCCCTTCTTTTTAGCTAATTTGTCTTCTTCGGAATTAAAAAAATTGCGCAACAAACAACGCAAGGCACAACTTCGAGCTGAGGCTAATAAGGAAGAGCAGAAGAAGCGAGAACATCAGAACCACCAACGCAAAGATAAGAACGAGGACCCAGAGAATAGGCCACCGGAAATTGAACAGCTGCAGCCCCAAAAATTGGCTCGGGTAATTCACTGTTTACTGTGGTAAAAGACTCGTTTTCATTGATTAAAATCTCATTTCTCATTTTCCTAATAGCCACAAAATGCTCTAAATGAAGCTGTACACTTTTTGCAACCTCTAATCGAGCTTTCGGGAAATAGAATCGAAACGCATTGTTTATCCTACGAAGTCTTTGAACGAAAGGGTGAATAATCTTATTCATTAATTTTTTTACTGGCAGTGGACGATATTGAATTACTCGTTTTTTTTTCCATAGGCAAACTTCTGTTGATGCTTCGTGCAATTCGCCGTGGTTTGGAAGTACCTGGGTCAAAAGATCACCCATGGTTCAATGAATGTCTCTGTCGATTCTCACTGCGTTTGGCTGAAATGAACCCCGAAGGTGACAATCTTGTGCATGCTGTGCTTTTCCAACAAGCAAAAATAGTTTTCGGAGAATCCCTGCCTAAAGCTACTGAAACAAATGACGCCTTTCTCAAACGAAATGCGAAGTCTTTTTTGCATGTTTTCCGAGGTAAGTGTGCATCTTTGCTTCAGGTCATATGTATGCGCATATTGCGTTTCATTAAAGAAAAAAGCTCTATCTTTTTCGTTTATTTCTTACTTCGTATCTAGGTATTCTCACCAAGGCCATAATTGAACCAAAATCGGCGGAAGATGCATTTAAGAAACTACCCTCGCCTTCTGATAAGGAGTTTGGCACTGTTTCTTGGAAGGTATTCTTTTAGTCAGTCTCTTGTAACTTATTTTTATCATCATTTTCAACATTACTATTTTAATGTTAGGTTTTGTTTGATGCTATGGAGCTTCTAAAGAGACATATGAGTCTTAAGCTCTCTCCAGTAACCAGTGAAATGATTGTCAAGTTCCGTAATGAGTGTTCTTCTCTTTATCCTCTTGCTGCGGTCTTTTATGATGAAGTTAAGTTGGAAGCTCATCGTAAAGCTGTGCTTAGTGAACTCTCTAGCGTCAACCCAGAGGAAAGTGAACCTCTCAAAACGCCGAATTCAAAGATACTTCCTTCAAACAACTCCGAAGTCGACTCTGTGGCTAAGAGGTTTGATGGCCTGGCTGTAAGTAGTGGTGGACAGGAGAATAAAATGAATGGCCATGTAGAAAACCTCAATTGTGGTAAAGGGGTTAACAAAGGGAAAAAAAAGAAGGCTGCCGGCAGCAACAGTGCTAAGGCAAATACAGTCGTAGCCAAAAATTAGCCTCCCTCTTTGTTGCTGGTTCCCCTTCCCTCTCCTTTTTTAAAAATTCTGCGCTTGTATAGCCGAATCTTTTCACCAACTTGTGAAGTGTACAGCTCTATACTTTCACACTGACCAAATTCTGACGTTATCGTTATCGGCTGTTACCACTATTATATAGCTTATGAAAATATAACTCGTGTCAAAATACTTTCCCCTTCCTACTGCTTTGCTGTCAAATGCCGTATAAGTAGTGTCTAGCTGGGTTAGAGATAACTTTGTACTTTGATGTGCACACACTGGCCATAGGTTTGTTACTTTTTGCAAAACGGATCAGTGGAACCATTTTTATTGGTCTTTACTAATCACAACGGAAGTTAAATCTGAACGCTTTTTTTTTGGAATTTTAAGGTTTGTTTGGAGTTCAAATTTTCTCGACTTCTCTTGAATATGGTTCTAAAATTGAGGTGTCGACAACAAAATATAATTAAACATTTCATTAGTAAATGCTGTTCTGGATCTTTTGCAAGCAGAGGAAAGTGTACTTGTAGTTGACCGAATTTTACGGATGAACTGGTGATGGCACTTCTGATTTCTAGCCTAGTGTCCCCATTAGGAAACATAAACGGGTAGTCAATAATTATTGGGTATGAAAGGTGAAAATCGAGTGATGCGGGTAAATACGAAGTCTAAAGGGATTCTTTTTGCTGAGAACTTTGTAGGCCATTGAAGGGCGAAGCAAAGGGGTTTGTCCTTTTAACGCTATCTAATAGTACGTGATGCACAATTATGCAGTTAATTAGACCAGTCCACGGGTTAAACGAATTTAACCTACTCTAATCTCGCAATAAGGCTACTTTATGAGACAGCCTGAATTTGTCTAGTCATCCCCTTTTAGAAATAATGGTTTTCTTAAGGCCTACAGTTTACAATAGCCTCTCTAGAATGAGGAAACTTAATTATCTAAATTTAGATTATTGTTAGAGAACCTGGTTGTTTTATTGTCGAATAAGTGCTTATTGCTTTCATAAAGCAGAAGACAGTTTATGGTCTGTACTTGCAGTTAATAGTCATATCTAAAATTTTCGAGGTCACTGCCTCAGTTTTTTTTGTTTACTCTGTAATGCTTAAAGTAAGTGAAAGAGGTGATGGCAAGATGTCAGATTTTTGCATGCGGCAACAAGCTTTCCTTAATAATTTGAAATGTATATTCACTAAAAGACAGGAAAGGGGTTTACGAGATTGAAAGCATTAAACGGTCAAGACTGGGAGAATTTTAAGTGATATCAATGAATCATAGCCTGATTTCACTTTGGTAAACATCTAGAAATTCAGAAATAATCGGTTCTTTATTTAGGAAAAAACGGGAATACGGATCTTCTCTATTAATTTTAGTTCATATAATTCCTCGGCTAAACATGGAAATACAATTTGCTTCAGTTATGTGTGGATTAAATAAAAAACAAAGCAATTTGAAGGGAGAAAAATTCTACCTATATAATTTTAGTGAAGTATTCGAACGCTTTTCCGTTACTTTTGTTTGTTTTATTCTACAATATACATGCCTTAAGTCTTGTTCCTGCCGCTCATACTCAGATAAGAATACAAAAATGTTCCAAGCCTAAGGAGTTAATTAGCCACGATTTGTCATTGTGAAGTCACGGATATTGTTCGACAAATAGAATTCGATGAAATTCGTCACACGAACAAATATATTAGAACAAAATCACGATTCAATCACGGGACTGTCTATATTAATTTACCCGTTATTTAGCTATTTATTGCATTGTTACTCAGTGATTGACTAATTAGAGGGTAGATCTTGGCAGTACGATTACATAAAACCTAGTGTTCACATGACTAGGCCACCCACACTACTCAATTGGAGGTATCATAATACAATTACTAAATTAAAACAATTATCCTATTTCTATCATTTCCTTATTTTCTCTTTAAAACATGCGACTGTGGCTTAACAACCTAATTTACCTTCATTCATTTCCTTTGATTTGCTTTTTACGCGACTAATCTTACATTACTTTCGTACCTCTAATTTTATTTAAAGTTGCTGAATTCTTTCAATCTTTGAGTTCGTTAAATTTAGAGGTGCTATCTCTAGGTATACTTCACTTCGACCATAAATTAGCTCTCCTGTTGGATTTGTATTACTTCAATCTAGAAATAAATCACAGTCTAACGGACTTTTCGTTCAGCCTTGAGATAATTTCGTATCATTTACATAAAAGATGGTATTAGCAAACGAACGCAGCCAATTTTGTTAAGATAACCCTACAGAATATATTCTCGCTTTCATTAGAATATTGTTTACCATTCATAGTTAGTAATAAAAATCACAACTGATTCATTGACGATTATATAAATTATTGACGGATCAGCTTTCTAGCGCATAATTCGTGCTTTTTTTCATTTTAAATTCACACAGAATTCCATATATTAATAGGATTGAAGATATTGACATTTTCAAGAGTTTAGGAAGCTCGATTCTACATGACATGGGGTGTGCGGTAGACTTACTTCACGTGGTGCACCCTGGGCAACGTATACTCACAATGCAAAAAAGTCCTTATACCGGAAGCTTACTTCTGACTTCAAACTACAATGACCCCACTGTATGTCGTACTCGACCACTTCCACAGTACTCACCTTACCATTTCCTCTACCTTTGTATCTGTCTCTTTATATCTGTGAATTGTTCTTCTGTGATTTTGATGTACCTCCCCTCTGTGAATCCCGAAGTCAACTTAAGGGCTAAAGATAACTATCATAAAGCCTGACAGTCAATATAAATAAACTAATCCTACAAGACTTCAACAGCACAGAGTATCATTGAGGTCTAGTTTATATAAGCATATTTTCATAAACAAAGGAATCAGTCAAGGTGATGCTTTAATTGAAAAAAATTTCTTCGCTTTTAGCCTAAAAGGAAAGTGTTTCCTTGTATATACTAATCGACGAAAAACTTGTATTCTCCGAAGAGATATGCTTCTGACCACCGACTATCAGCGATTCAATCAAGTTGATATTCTAGTTGAGCTACCGTTTTGAACTTTTTTTGAAATTGAGTATTAACATCAGCATATACAATAGCAAAATCGCAAATTCAACAGCACCACAAGAAAGCCGTTTTTCTCTAGAGTTCTGTTCACCTTTCAGTAAACACTGCCGGCCATTACCCTAACTTCACTCAACTATGTTAGATGATAAAAATGGTAATAAGATTGGAGACTTTTAACTTCAAATGTATCTGAGCCCTCTCCTGTTCAATATTCCATCGATTTTTTCTACTTAATTTAATTAAAAAATAAAAGGAAGGTAGGGTAATTTTAGCAAGTAAATTGATCATTGCCTGCAGACATATTTTCTTCATAATGAGTAAACTTCTTGGAATTTTTGTAAGTTAATTGGATGAAATTTTGTTAATCACGAAAGAGCAACCTTTAAAATAAGACATGCTACATGGATAACAAATTATTAGAGGTGGAAACTGATTTCAGGAAATGATAAGTAATATATTTTGGCCAGTTTATCTAAATAAACAAAACACTTTCGGATTACTTTGACTCAGACAACAAGTAATTACCGCAAATAATATGAGAAACCAATAACATATGAAATAAATGAGCACACAACTTTGAAATAACCAATACTACTTGTCGTGTTTTATAAATAATCAAAATATATAAAAAGCACAAACTTAAGCGAAGTAATGAAAAGGCATTCATATTATGACAGTCATAAAAACCATCTTAAAAGCACATTCAAGTATTCTGAAAATCAAAGAATAATAATCTCGATACGCAACCGCTTCTTCCTCACAGAAAACGGTTCCAACAAAAATATCTCTATAATTAATGTGATCCCATCCTCAATAGAACCATGAAACGCCATGTATCGAGCCAGTCGTTGTATATGGATTGGCATGATTCGCAGAGATATTGAATGCAAATGACTAATGTTATCCGGAAATTAAATCAACAATTTACTGTTGACTGTTCATAAAATTGACATATTTGCGGGGTTCATAACTGCCATAATTTTGGAATAAAGCCCATCATTTAGAAAGTTAATTTTTATTATTTGATCTCTGGATCAATCACTATTTTGAGGAGCTAATTAGTTCACGACAAGCTCCAGAAGAAGCAAGAATAATGCTTATTCATAATATCAAAGTAAATCAACATCCAAAGCAAGGAATTTCACTCTGTATACTAGCGTTTAATCTTACAGATGTTGAAAGATTAAATTTCGTTTTAATTGATACATTTTTGAACGAGAATTGGCTCTTCACCTTCAGTCGATTTCACCAAATTTAAGTGTACGATGGTATCTAAGCCCTTGATTAATCTGGAGATTATAGTATTATACCATTTGCATAAAGTAGAGTGCAAGTATGAACGCGCGTGCAAAATCACTCTCAGCTCTTCAGAGACTATTTCTTATTTGCCTATCTATTGAATTACTGATCATGTTATTATAATTATTCGTTAAGTGCTCTCTATCCTGTGGTCGTAGTTTATCTAAAATCTGTACTTGTGAATACTACCCGAATTTAGTAGTTATTTGCCTCTTTGGACAGCGTTCCCTGGGTTACGGCAGTTTTATTAAGCTGCGCGTTGGATATCGATGCGACCTTATATTGAAAAACAGATAATTAATAAGATAGCCAGAAGTGAGCGTGCAATTTTAAAGGACGCTAACTTCAATCATGATGAGGCATATTATACAGAGAGTAGAACAATTACTATTCCTTACGCAGTAGGAGAGATAGCTATGAATCTTCCTTTTGGCTATGCCTGTTATATCCAATAAGCTATTTGTTCCCGTAAAAATTAAAAAAATATATTTTTCATTTATATTTTAATGATCTGATCAAGTGATAGTGTGTCCAGACACAAAGCAGATTGCATAACCAGAAGAAAGTATAATAAAGAACCGGTCAGTAAAGTAAGTCAGGTAATGATTTGAATGAAGCCAAAGAGACCCTTGACCCACCACTGAGGGTCACGAGCTCTTACTTCTTGAAAGCGCTCCGGTGTCAATCCAACAGCCACGTCTGCTTTGGCAACTCGAAGTGTCATCATCAGAGAACTGCCCTCGCCTTCATTTGGAGGAAAACACCTACTGAAAGCCGTTACCTTATCCTTCGCAGAGTCCGGTGCCCACGAACGATCCTCGAGCAACTTCCTGTAGTTCAAATCTCCCTGAAATCACAAAACACAATTTAAGACATGATTTATACCCCTGTAATAGATGAGAAAAACCATTTTTTATAAAATCAAAAGTAAGATGCTATTTGTGCATCGTCGAAACATTGATCAAAACTCTATAACCGGATAATAATTTGACATCTATTGAGAAAAGGGGACTCGTAAATGTAATTTATTGTGAAAACCAAAAGACTAAAAAATTGCACTAAAACCCATAAGAATAAATGAGGGGAACTGGGAGTTAATATACGAGAATCCAAACACAGTAGGAAGTTTAGAACCACCAGAAGTATCTTTCGTTATTGGACTACAAAAATTCATTCATTTATCGACCACACATAAGGAAATTCTCAACAGCAGATTCTATACTCATTGTAATACAAAATAATAAAATCAACTAACCTTAAAAATTACAACACTGCATTCTGTCGTGAGTTTATGATATAGGTCTGGAGCTCGATCCTTCATTTCATTATAGCCAAATGGAAGAGTCCAAAATCCATGAACTTCAGTAGTGAATGAACCGTCACAAAAGCGTTGAGATATGCGCTTCAGACAGGGCCTAATTTTGTCCAGGTTTTCCGGAGACCCAGGCATGTCTTGGTTCTTAAGAAGCCACTCGAAATCTCTTGGAGTTACATCCGAAACGAACCAGGGCAGGCGTTTCGGCATAAAAATAGCTCGATCGGCCAGTCCAGAGGAGAGAAGAAATTCGCACAACACTAGATCTGCGAAAATCTCTGGTGAGGTATTATCCGTTACTAAGATAATAGTTCGAGAACCGCCTTTAAGAGGCCAACGGGAAGTAATTTGATCAAGATCGCTAACTACCATTTGATTAGCAGTTTTGAATGCAATATTTTCTTTCAACTGATTGGCACCAACATGAGTATCGCATTCTGTTTCACCGGCTTGCATAGACAGGTCAACTTCGTTTGACCAAAGAGAACACTAGAAAAAATGTACAAGATAAAAATTTCAGAATTACTAAGAGAAAGAACTTCAGATCTGCAAGACAGGGTTTGGGACGAGAGGAATTAATAGCCTCGTCCAGACATTCACACATTGAAACTAATGTAGGTAGACTGTTTGCAAAACTAGCAATCTTTCGTTCCTGGAACATGTCTAAAGTGGGTAGTCCACTGAATAAATACGTACCGCATTTATGATATTAACTTACCAATTGTAGGCAATGTTATTTAACCGTCTGTACATGTAGCATTCAGCAAAAAGCCAAGGTGCATTGAACCAATAGAGTTTCGCTTTAGTGTAACTAGAATATATGAAAGATGATCCGGTTACTTTTGAATTGCTTCGTTGTATATTTCTATATCATCAGCATTAGACTCAGGTGTAAGCTTAGCGAAGGGTTTATTTGTCATAAGCTCATAGCGAAGTTTGGCAATCTCAGATATTGCAGATTTAACATCCTCATACTAGTAAGGTGCGTACTAATTGTGAACAAGAGAACCTACGTCGGTTTGAGGATTGCCAAATTTTTCTTTGAATTTGTACAGATCATCGAGGGTTTTAACCAAAATAACTGGCAGACGGTCTTTGATTGTTGCAAGAGCGAATTCACTAGTAAAGAAACTATTAAAAGATCTCGAGCTTACGAGTTAATAGTATTAAGCACAGGTGGTAGATCGACAACGGGCATTCTGAGACCTGTTTTTGAAGGAATATAGGAAAAATAAAAAAGAAAGATACAGATATGTGCATGAGATTCCTTATCTTATTGCACTTATCTTTTTACGAATTTTTTGGCAATACCAATAAAGTAGGCTAAAACTTTAGGTCAATGTTAAATTGATTTAATAGAATTCAAACAGTTAACAAAACAATTACCGTTTAAAATCCCATAATAAACATGCCTTCGGCGATTTGGACATTTAAATAAAGCATAATATATTAACATTCTAATAACATAGTCAACAGAAGAGACTCACCACCAATCGAATACAGTATTTCACTCAGATTAAATTTCTCACGACTTTGAATGGTTACTTCAAAATATATATGTTAAAATAATTTTATATCGGCACAGATCCTACAAAAATATAATAAATATAATTAATCCAAACGTATATTTATAACCATTTTCACAAAACTCTTATTCGCGGGTTCAAAATCTCAATAGCTAACATTACGTGCAACAATTATTAATAAATTTATTTCGGATTCATCACTCTATTAGTAAGTAATGTTAATGTTAATGTAAAAATAACACGTTTCACAGTGAATTTTTTGGAATACTGAACCTAAAAGATCTTTAAAAAGTGAAACATGATTTACTTTTGATTGATTTTATACTTTCTACTTCCTATTGTTTTACATTGACCAAATTTGAATCCCAAATTATATAAAAATTACACACCCTATTCTTCTGCAATATGATAAAAAATATGTGATAAATCAAATTTAAATTTATGGATATGAAATTACTAAAATATTGCTTATCAATTAGATATGGAAGATACTTTTGTTATAATAGCTAGTAAAGTACATGAGATTCATTCAAGATGATGGATGTCAATCGTTCGGATGTGTTATCGGATATTCAAATTGCCGGGTTTAAGTGTACGCTTTTTAACGATCCAGAAAAGTCTATGGAAATAAATAGTGGTTCACTTTTAGTGCCATGGGGAAATAGTACCAATATCACCATGGATCGGTAAATTCGTGCTTTAATATTTTACCTATTTGTAATAAGTTTTTTTATATTGTAAAGTGATAAAATTTCTTAATTGTAGATATGATTGCCGAGGTTACTTGCATGATCTGGCTGAACACGATGCGGACAATGTTATTCACAGATCAGGATTTCAAACAGCTGAGGAACTGGCTGCGGAAGAAATGTGCGACTACGAGCGTTATCTCGAACTACAAACAGATATCCACGAGGAAGAGATTTTTCATGGTGAGTACGCTTGTGATAATTTCGGCCATCTCGTTGACTCGTTTGTCGCCCTCTATCTCGTTATGGCTCGCCCATTGCAGCCAAATTTGCATCTATTCGATTTCTAGTTTCCAATTTATCTGAGCTCCACAGTGATTACACTCTGAATCCTTCCAAATGAGTGAGTTAACAACGTTTGTTTCTGTTTGCATTTACCTCCCCATAGCTACCAGCCCTTCGCTTCGACCAACCGGTTTTAGATTTTCTTCGAGACTGTTGAGACGACAAGTCTAGTGTGTCCAGATGATGAAGTCCGATATGTCATGTAATTATGAGTGAAATCTCTCTAAATTTGCGAACCCTTTACTCATCCTGATCGTAACAAGTCCAGATTCCTTATTTATGTTTTTTTCCTTTTAGAGGAAGAGCGTAAAAGGCGGGAAGAAGCTCTCAAGGAATCCTACGTGGCCATTGGTTTTTCTTACGATGAGAACGAAACGGATAAAAATCCAGATACTGACAATACTGGTAGGTTTGCTCATTCCATAATCACCTTTGAATCTTTTACTAAAGATTTAAAGATTTGGTGTTATTTTGTCATTTTATTTCTAGTCATGTGTCTTTCTGCAAAATACAACCTCTTGCGTTTGAGCTTAGACCCTATTCGATTGCTGTGTGATTTTTTATTCTCTTTTTTATTAGCACCCAATATTTTTTAATGAACATGCTGTTTCGACTTTAATACCGACAATAAATTGTTAGCTGGACTCAATTTGAAGCCAATTAGAAGTTAATTTTTATGTTCGCTTTTGCTTGTAAGTTTTATTTATACCTTTACTACTTTTCTGTGGAAAAAGCTAAAAACCAAAAGCTAGCTTGAAATTTAATTGCCTTAAACAGTTTACGTAACTTTATACCAAGACAGATTGTTATTTATTACAACGGGCGATTAATATGCTTGATATTTTATTATAAAAGCGCTGAATTCTGAACAATCTTTTAGCATTCTATAGAAACGCTTTTTTAATAAACCTTGTTAACTGTTCCTTGTCTAATACTCTCATTCGTTAAATCTCCCTTATTTTTTGCTTGTTTAACTTCTTCCAATATGTTTATTCAACTTTCAATCCTTGTGTCTCCTTCCTTGTCAAGTTCCCCCATTTGTCATTTTTCACCACTTATCTTTGGTGGGAAAGTGAAAGTTTACCTCTGACTTCTGCCCTTTTTAGGTAATTTTTTCCCTAAATATATTTTCGCAACAATTAGCGATCCAGTTTAATTATAAAGTTTATTTTAATATATTCTAATTTATAAATTTGCACGGCAAATCGTTTACCTATTAAAAGTTGTGACTTACTTTTTGTCTCTTGCTTAAAATCATATATGCTTACCTGATATTATACTGATTAATTCTGAGAAAATAGTTGACATTCAAAATTTTCTCTTTCGCCTTAGCGGCTCGTTTCCTGTTGGGTTTCAAACGCATTACCGTTGCCTTGGCACATGTTTACAGATATTATTTTTTATAGATCAAACCAAGCCAATCGACAGTCCTGATCGAAATCAGGCCTCAAAGGAGTTTGAAGGGGAGCCTTACATTTGTCCACCAGAACTTATTCTTCCACCCGACATGATTCTCCCTGAGTTCGATCGCCAGGCAGCTATCATCGAGAAGACGGCTATTTTTATAGCTCGCAATAATGCTCAGATGGAAATCGTTCTCAAAACCAAACAATCCAATAATCCCCAATTTAAATTCTTAAACTTTGATGATAAACTCAACCCCTTTTACAAGGAACTTGTCAAGCTAATCAAATCAGGTCGATATATTCCTAGACACAGGCCCAATACCTCAGATAGCTCAAAAGCTGATAGTGAATTCATTGGGGATAATGTAATTTTTCATTTGAAAGTATTGCCTTATTATGTAACCAAATTTTTTTATCGAATGCTTTCTTTCTCTTTGAAGATTAATCCCGATGAGCCATATGAGTTAAAGTTGCCCAAAGTGGATATATCAAACACTGCCTATGCCTCTCTTATTAATCGGTTCAAGAAATCCAATGAAGGAAAGTGAGTGATGTCTGTTTTGTTCACGTAATGCATTAAATTATCATTTTTAAAGCATTAATTTTCTCTTTTCTGATGTTTTTTGTTCTTGATATACACTGAACTTTTTTCTGTATACATCATTTTCACCTTTTTAGGGCTATCTCCAATAGCTCTGAGATGCAAAATGGCTCCGTTGATACCAACTTTTTGTCTGATAATCAGGTTTCAACTACGTCAGATGGTATGTTTCAAGAGCTGTCTAAACCAGATCAACCAGCTGCACCAGTAATAACGAATGAGGATTATGAACGGTTTTATCAAGAGTATTATCGTCACTACTATTCGTATTACTACATGCATTATTCAAACAATGCTGTTTCGACGGGAGAGGCAGAAAATGAATTCTGGGTCGTTTCAGAATCTTCTCGGGCGGCTGCTACTGCAGCTCTAGCCGCTGTCAATGCTGTTAGGCAGTCCCAATTGGCTTTTTCCAGGTTAGCTACTGTCTAAAGCTTGGGATCACTTTGAGACTGTCTAGTCAATTAGTGCCTTCTAATATCAAAAATTGTTTTGGATGTCTGCTGTTACACATTCGCAGTGATTGTCAAGTTAGCTTTTCTATTAGATCTGCTATTTATACCCTTTATCTAAATATGTACTTGTTAAGTTAGAGATCACGTGTGACCATAGTTTAATGATTCCCCTCTGGCACCATAGCTTATCCCCAACGATTTATGCATGATGATTGAGATAAAAGATGTTTCATGTAAATACAGAAGAGCAAGTTTAAATAACATTATTATTTGACAGTATTGGATGCAAAATGCTACACTACCTCGCGCTAGGGCTTAATGTTACTTTTAGTTTGCTACAAGATGCGATTTCTTTCACCCTGGCCACCTTGGAGCACAAAGCGTTATGGGCCGGATGTAAAACTGTCAGGTTGTTTTTTATATCTCTTAAGTTCACATTTGGCGATTAAAATGGCTTGGCGCTCATGTTATTAGGATGATTACCTCATTAAGACTGACCCTTCTCTAGTATCAGATTGCAAACCATGAAAAGTGTCTTATTATAATTCAATTCTCCATGTGGGATGTATTTGTAAATGTTTGATTTAAATCAGTTCTAATTGGTATTGTGGGTGTGTGATGCTTATCATATGATTAAGTGCGCATATGTTTAAGTGTCATCCTTATTAATTTTCTAACTGCGGTGACAATTTACGAAACTATGGCCTCACTTTTCCCTCAACTAGCTTCCTAACCTTCTTTCCTTGAACAGAAGGACTCACATATTTCCTCATTCAGAGTTGGAGTAATAATCTTTACTTCTAAAATTGGTCTGCTCGCGAAATCCTATACCTGCGGATCTAATTCTCATGTCGACATGTTTTCGTTTTATTATTAGTTAAAGCGATAATATAACCCATACCTTATTTCAACAATTTTATATCGAAACTGGCAACTTACATTGGAGTCTATATTTCAGTTGAGCAATATTTTGCACTTTAAACATGTTACTTGATAATAAGCTCAAATTGTGATTTTTACTCTTCCCTTTTTCGATATAGTTCATCTCCACCTGCTGATCTTCGAAGTATTATTGACAAAATGGCCGAGTATGTAGCTCGAAACGGGGACGAATTTCAGAATGTTGTGAAGAGCAAAAAGCAGGATGACCCTCGCTTTGCCTTCCTTCAAACCGGTCATATTCATCACGATTACTATATTGCTAAAAAAAAGGAATTTACAGCTAAGTTCCATAAGAGTGACCAGGAAAATGATGTGAAATCATCTCCTGTGTCCAATGCAGGTGAATGTAAGTCAATTAAGCGTCATTTATTACTCTACTTAACCTAAATAAACGAGCTATCGCATTTCGCTTTTATTTTAGCAAAAAATCAGGAGGTTAAAGACGAAAAGAGTCCTTTATCGCCTAGTGTCAAAAACAAAAGTATCTCGTTCCGACTGACAAAGTCGTGTTCGAACCGATTAAAAGAAACAGAGGAGACAAACGGTCCTTCAGCTGCAAATGATGAAGAGAACCCGATTGTTGCTGATGCCACCACTATACCTCAATCAACATATTGCAATACTTTGCCTGGGATCTGTAATTACTCCTCAGATACTGAAAGTGAAGAGGAACAAGAGGAGTTAGTGGAGACTGCTAATGCTAAAGGTGCTTCCCCGCCAAATTTGCCAGTGGAGAATGTGACCAAAACTGCGAAAGTGGTTTCCAATGTTCAAGCTGGTAATTTAGAGCATCTTCTATTTATTTTCCTTTTAGAGTTCTTTTGTTGTAATAGATATCACTAACTCGACAGTCTCTTTATGTATAAACTAAATAAGGCTCATTTATTTGATCTTGTCTTCCAGTCTGGACTGCATTGGGTCTTTCTTTTTGGTGTTATGAATTTGTTAGATGTGTAAGCGTCGCAAGTCTGACGGTTAGCAGCTTAATGCTCTATACATCCATCTAAACAATAGAAACCCCTAATCTTTGTCTGCTTTAAGATATTTCAATTATTAGGTAGAGTGCCTATTATCTACTCATTTGGTAGCCTTTTCTGACCGAAGTCTTCTATAATGTAGTTTGGCAATGTCTCATAATTATTGATTGTGCGGGTGGTATTTGAAGGTACGGTACTCCAAGTCCTATTTGAAATAGGATTGAACCTTTCTATTCGGAAGGCATCTGTAAATATGACGTCTAACGACAAATTTAGATCGTTCGATTTTTGTTGGTGAAGTTGATTGCATAATTCAGCACGCTTATCTCATTATAGCAACTTTGACAGCAGTTCCTCAAGCATCCCAACCTGTCACTTCTCGCAGAAATCGAGTCGATAATCCTCCCTCGTCTCATCTTACCTCAAACGGAAAATCGGCTAAATCTCTTACAATAGGAACTCTTCTCAGCGCTGAGGAGATTGCCCGTGATATTCAATCCATGGAAGAGGAGGCACGCCAACAGTTAGAGCGTCGAAAACGTGCCGCTCTCTTTGCCGCTAAATTGCAAGCTGCGAAGCTACGCAAATTAGAAGAAACGGTGGCAGAAGAGCAAAGAAAAAAGTGTGAGACGCCGTCACCACCACCACCTCCGATAAATCGATTAACGTCTACTGCTGCGCCACCTCCTCCTCCTTCATCAGTACCTGCGGCGGTTGCTAATGCAGTCGCTGCCCAGTTGAAGACTCAGAGGGAAAAAGCGCTAGAAGCTGCTACAGCTTCGAAAGAATCGGAGAGGAACAAAGTGAGTTTGCACTTGAGCCATTATGACAAATACGTCTACAACAAAGTACTCTGATGGCGTAGTACCTGTGTACATTAATTAATCGGTTGTCGGAGACTTCTTAAGTATACATTAGATCCTTCTTTCGAGGAATTTGGAAGATGTGAATCCTCTGTGTGTGTGGGAGGGGGGCTCGTTTAGCTTTTACAGGAAGGCCCAATCCACGCCTTCTTTTAATTGCCTACAGTTATTTTTTTCAGCCATTTGGCCCTCAATAACGAAAACGGTATTAACTCCAATTATTATTATCGACCTCCATGCCTGTGCTAACCTGTTTCGGCCAAAGACCAATATTCGATTTAAGTACCTTAGAATTTGTCGCGATACATGATTGGCTTTTCCTGTAGTAGTAACAATCTAACCTTCTAAGTGTCTAACCTCTAAATTTAAGTAAGGAGCACACAGACCGCAGAGTGCTGCATTTGAAGCGACTGAGTCAGGGTGCCATCACAAGTGCGTGTGTAGAGGATAGACCAAACAGGTAGCATGTTCTCTATTTGAAACTTCTTTGATTAATCAAAATGACTCAAATTGTCAAATATAATACACATTTTATGCTGTTTGATAAGGTAGACCATGTGTACATTTCTCTTTTTCATCTCTTCTAGTTCACTCGTCGTGCTTCCAGAAGTCCACCAGCAGCTTATGCCAAACATCGTCGAAGGTCATTATCTAGATCTCCTTCAGGAGAAAAGAGTTATTCCAGAAGTCGTCGACGGCGTTCACGATCTCCGTCAATCTCATATGACCATAGCAGCAGGCGAAGCCGACATAAACGTTTATAGCTATTTTTCCTCTTTCCCCAATAGCTTCTTTTATATCTAAACTATTATTCCTACAAATGAAGAGTGGGTGTTTTTCACGTTTTTTTACTTGTTATGACTTTGTTAACCTCCCTAAATGGCATAAATAGTTTGTAACTAGCATTAAGTAGTCTGTTTAAAGCGGTTTCGGTTTGAATATAGAGGTGCATTCTGGAATGATACGTCTATTAAATAAGGGAATTTAAGCTTTTGAATAGTTATAAAAAATTTTAGCTTTTCTCAAATGAGAACTTATTAACGCATACGTCCATCATTGGTTGTCTATTCTACGAGCAAGAGAAATAGTCAACTCCATTTGGTTTGCCTTAATTTGGCCCCTTTTTGAAATCTCGCTTGCGCAACTTTGCACCTTGTTTGTGGCGCGTCCGTGATCCCATTAAACTCAACAATTACGTAATTTGTGCCATGTTTTATTTTCTCAAAACTTAAGCTTAACGGTCCCCCGATTTCTTTTAATTTATAAGACTTGTACTTAGGGAAAAAATTCGAAAAAGATGCTGTATTTTTCGCCAAAACTGTTAATGCAAAAAGGATTTTAAGCTGTAGAGAGAAGTGCACCATAGCAAAAAAGCGGTTCTGACTTGGGATATTTTGGTTCCGGTGATCAATAAATGCATTGGGCGATTTTACAAACACCTGCTCTTCTAGCTGCGCGGAATTGATCGACGACTATTTAGCAGGATTTGAGTTTCAGCCAACCTGAGCAAAATGATTCGAATTAAGGAGAATGAAGAGCAACTTACATATTGGAAATTCTGCTGATTTGCTGTTCTAAACCCTGATCTACATCAAATCTGGCATTTTTGGAATTGCTACAGTAGACTGAATAATCATTCTCGTTGTTCAAATAAGAAAATGAATGGTCTTTATAAAGATCCGAGTTGTCACCACCACCAAATGCTTTCGATCGGTAATCCATAAAGGTCTAGACAAATAAACACAATGTCATGTCAACTACTTTGGTAAAATGGCATGATATATTCGATTACTTTGGCTTACGGATTTTGTTCTTTGGGAGTCTAGATCTACGTTCTCTCTATAGCGAGCATCTCCGTGGTAACAAAGTTTGCTTCGGTAGGATGAAATATCCTCAACTGGGAGCTTGTGAAGCTTATCAGAACCGTTTGAAACAACGAATGTCGGTCGCATGTAAGTACCTGAATTTCCAGACATCTTTATGCCATCTCCACTCCACAATTTAGCAACCTCTGGAGAATACCGATCTTCGATTTTGAAAGAGGGCTGTGAAATAGAATCAGTAGTCTCCACTGATAAATTGATATCTGAAAGAGACTAAACGAAAAATATATCCTATTTTTCTTCGAACCCGAAACTTACTAGCATGTTTACTGGCTGTTTATTTCCCCTAATTAAGTGTGTGGTTGCTTGAACGGGATTCGACCGAGCGGGTAATGAATTCTGTTCATTTCCATTTGAATATTTTGACGGTGAATCGGACTGTGAATTAATCAAATCCAGCTTTCTTTTGATATCCTAAAATCGCACATTAACATACTATTGTTTTTATTGAGTAGCAAGTATGCTCATATTAATAGATATCGAACTTAATGTGAACAAACGCAAGTGGAATGTAATAGATATGGTAAATGACACCAATAAAATTGAAGGAAAATTAATGTAGCCATTTGCTTTGACTCAGAGAAGAAGTGTAATCTTTACTGTTGGAAAAGAATTAATAGTATCTATCCAAAAAGGGTTAATTTAATGACAGTACGGTTACTTATTCATTTATTGCCAAATAAAAAGGACAAATTTTATCAGAAGAGATTTTGAAGTAACAAGTTGGCTTCTTTTTCCACATAGCCAAATTTGTTTAAATAATGCTAAAATAGAAAGATTTCCACATTTACACGTATATTACAGACATTCCTGTAAATTTAGGGTTTTAAAGTTATTGGAGGCTTCCAAAAATTATAATCCCTATATTTTGAATAGGATAAATTGTAGGGTTATTGATATGCATAGCTTTGTATTGGAGTAAAATCAATATTAGAGCTCTGGTTTTCGTAGCTTTTTGAAGGCCTATTAAACTAAAGAAATTCACATTTTCTTAGTTGATATTACGCATATTTCTAAAATCCTGATTTAAAAACGAAATCGCAACAAAGAGTTACATTTCTCGATTTGCGTAAAATCAAGACTGTTTAGGAGCTAAAATGCATTTTAGGTTTCCCCCTATAGTCAATAGAGGATGACTAACAAAGCGAAAGAAATGCGATTAAGCTTCTAAACCTGAAAATCCTACGGTCTTTATCAGAAGGAATATAATAGGAAGAGAATACTGAACCGGTAATTTGTTCGAATATAAAATTGGTAGAAGCTGGAAAAAGAAGCAAACAACCACTTACAAGTTAAAAAAGAATATCTGGGCAAATAACAATAGGTTTGCCACATATTTGGGGAAATTAATAAAGAGCACACAATAATCCGGTTTTAAGCATCCACGAGATACACCTCTACTAGCGTCTAAATAATTTTCAGCCGCTTTTCGCACATCATCCATCCCCCCCCCCTTGTTCGTTGAAATTATGGAGCTTTTTTTAAAATTATTCGATGCAATTCAAAGAGTATTCACCTCTTCAAGATTATTCTTCGCCACATTTTCGGGCAATGTAGTAGGCAATTTAGCAGTATTGCCATTCTGCAATGGTTTCTCTATCGCATTAACACGCGACTCAATCCCCTCCACTCTATTTACGATCTGCGAAATCTGATTCGAGATTGTGTTTAGAGAAGCCATAAGATCTGACACACATTTAGATTCCTAATGTAAGGGAACAAAAGACATTAATATGATTATGAACGATCATGAAATAAGATCTACCTGAATCGACTGATCGGTTTCTGATTGCGCTGAATTACCATTCTGCGGAGTTACTACTTGCTTTGGGGGTGCAACACCATTTATTAAGCTACTTTTTACCTTTTGTTTAGCTGGCATTCGAGCAACCAGGTTTGAGGACTTTGAACTCAAAGCCGCTTGTCGACGTACAGCCCAGGTAGGTGTAGTCGGCAGTATTCCTGAAGTCTTTCGAGGTATACGAGAAGTAGAGAAGGCTCTCTTATTCAGGCGTGATTTCAACTCTGCAACAGACTTAACAATGTCGGCAGACATTTTAAGCTTCTTTTCAGCGAAAGAGTTTGTGACAAACTGAGCAAGTGAGAGTGGTGGTTTTATTTTGAGCAGATCACGACAAATGCGATAGAGTATTTCCATGAAACGACTGTCCGATGTACCTAAATTTGACGTAAAAAAGACGAGTGTATTGTGAATTTTATAATAGCTATATCATGACCAGCTAACCAGTAAGAAGGAAGTTATTTGAAGTGAGATGAAGTGAAACGTTGCGATCAAAGTCACAAAAAAGATACCGAAAGAGATCGACGAAGGCCGAACTTGAACCGATTATCATCCTGAAACACAAGGCGATATAATGATTGGGCAAATTTGGGAATTGGAAAGAATAGGCTTTAACTTACGAGTGAAAATCAACTTCTATTTTGACACGAGCGTTCCTCAATTCGCGCCGTAATAGCTCAATAGATGCTCTTAAACCCGACATTAGTTTTTCAACTGTTTGCCAAACACAAACTAATATTTAGCGACATAAAACTGGGAAAGAAATGCAGAATAATTAAATAAAGCAAATTAAATACGCGCACATGACAGTAATAAGTTCAGAAGAAAGGTCATAGACGTCGTCGCAATATGGATGATAAGAAGTTTATGAGCTTATTACGTTTCCACTGTTTTAACACCTCAGAGTGCTTAAGTCGTGACAAAGATCTATGATTACATGAAAAAATTCAGAATTAAATTGGTCCTATACTCTGGAGTGTTTAAATAGATCTAACGAAACAGGAAAGAGCTAGAAATTAAACTTTTCTAATAAGAACATCGTGAAGCTAATTGAAAAAATGAATACCCAAGGGAGCAAAAAAGCAACTCCAACCTAAATTGGAATGATTATGCTAAAATACACCGCATATTGTGAAGAGCTTTTCACCGAAAAGTCGAAATGGTGAGCACAGACAGGCAAGAGAAATTGATAATTTTCTGTGCGTAAACAACACCACAACATAAAAGAATTGTACATAAAGAAACTAGACTTCCAACCCATTAACCAAAAGAAACTAAAAATGCTGGACAGATTAAGAACATAACGATGTGCAAAAATAGCCGTAAAGCGGTGGCATGTAATACAACAACTGACAACAACAAGAAAACCCAACTTTGCAATAGGTAGAATATTGTATTCAAAATAAGTCTAAATAGTAATCACACATGAAATTTGATTGAAGAAATTGTAATAAGAGTTTTAGATTAAAATGAAAGACATATGGAGCAGAAACCAATTTGGAAAAAAGAAGGGTGAGATTCAATTGCTGTAAATGACATGAGAACGTCCAGAAGACTGCTCATGTGGTAGCCAAGGGAAATGTAGCGGCAGAGCAGTATAGGGCATAAGCGAACCAACTTGTGTAGCAATTGGCCTATTAGCTGCCTCAACAACAATTGTTTTCTCAGAGGCACTGAGATATTCATCAATAGCAGTTTCAGCGCAGTCAGCTAAGGAAAAAGAAAAAAGAATCATTAAGGAAGGTAATGGCTGAAACAACTCTTAAATAATGTATGAGGTGCAGAGACAAACACACCGATAAAACGAATGAAAGGACGGACATCACCCTCGTTCGCACTCTTCAGGTATTCATAATATTTAGATCGATCCTCTTTGCGAACAATTGCAGGCGGATATCCAGCTCGCATGAGAATGAGGTTCATAACAAGTCTAGAGGTTCGACCGTTTCCATCGTAAAAGGGGTGAATGTAGACAAGTTTCCAGTGAGTTAGGGCAGCGAGTTCAATTGGATGAAGTGCTAGCGCTTCTTCGGAGTTCACCCAGTCTATCAACTCTTCCATCAATTCTGGAAGCATACTAGCTGGAGGAGGGGTGTGGTCACCGACGAATACCTTGAGAGAACGGAAAAAATTCATAGAACACATGCGGAGAACATTCGACGCTCCTCCAATTTACTCTAAAATTTGAGCCGTTCTCCAAAAGGCTAAATAACAAATAGGGTGGTGAATAATATGTTTACGTAGCCTAATACCGACATACTTTATCTTCTACAACTGAGCTTTTAGTTGTGTTTCAGTGTCAACTTGCATAGTGAGGTGGTTAATTCAAATCATTTAGCTACAATATAGGGGTATTATGCCAAATTCATCTGATACCTCTCTAGTAATATTACTATACACCACTGTCAGCGTATCGAAAGGTACTTCAACTAGATTACGTCAATCCCGACGAAAATCTGACTTCATAGCTGCTTCATATACTTAATTAAAGAATAAATTACTGGGGACTCTCTTCTTGACATTGAAATACAGCGATTTTGCTACTAATAATAATTAGGCTCGTGGTTTACAACGTTTGTTTTGAGAAGTAGCATTTCGCTGAAATTATTTTATTAGTTTGGGGATTATGATAAATATCATAAAGCCTACCATCCGATATAATAAAATCTTTATTGGTTTTAAAGAGAGCAAGTAGTCGTCCCGTTTATTGAACAAGCGTTGATGAGTTCTGCAATACTGCTATCTGACACTGAAAACTCATAAATACTTAAATATGCAACCATAATCACAACACAACCAGTAAATGGCACACCCCATCTATATACATACCTGAGTTTTTCTTAAACGACCAGCCTCCGATATGTCCACAAAAGATAAAACTCTTCGATGAAGCTCCAATATGTCTCCGAGCGAAATTCGTGTTAAGGTTCCAGTGAGAAGGGTATTATTGAGATATTTAAACGCAGCATCCAAACCAAGAACCTATAAATACAAGTAGTAAATCAGAAGACCAGGAATAAACAAAGTTTTAAAAAATTTAAACCTGCTTACTTCATTTTGTTCTTGCAAACTCTTTCCTCCTAAAGCTAGGCGCGTTTCAAGAAGAGATCTGGTTTGAGCAAGCGATAGAGTATTGCCTTCAATAGCATTTGAATGATAGATATGTAGAAAATAATGCTCAACTTTCACTTTCTTTAATCCTGGATCAGAATCAGGAACGAGGTAGAAACGAGCAACTTTAGAATCTATTTTGCGATATCTGGCCAAGATAAAAAATGGGAAAAATAGAAAAAAACTATCAGAAGTTAAACTAATTTTAGACCATAAAGCACTTTACCTTTGCTGATCGATTTCCTTTACAATAGAACTCATTCGCTTCTGATTATTAACTGCCCGAATGTTAAGTGGATCACTAATGAGAGCCTTCGTGTACAAACCTTCAGCTTTTACGAGATTATGCGCTTGCTCGGAGGAGAGAGATTTAATAAAATCATTAGGACTTAGCAAAGCATGATCGAGGTTCTTTCCGCCAGTTGTTAAAGAAAGTCTTTCAAAGGCTTCGCCGAGCAGATTTAGGATTTCGGAATTCCGAGGGTCAAGGTTGGCAGCGTGCTTTAAGAGTTTCAATGATATATCTTGACGACCAACAGATTGATGTTTGATAGCCAAAAGCATACTCATTTCGGCTTCCTTTTGGATGCCTACACTAATAACTTTAGCTATATGAACTTACTTCGACTTTCAATCCTGTCGGCATTAGCAAATTTAGCATTATCGCCAATTCTCACATATTTGCTATCAGTAGGGGAGTGCAAAAAACGGTATCTAGAAGCATAATCACTAGATCGTTGATCTTTTAAACATCCCAATTGTGAACAATCTGATATAGTATACCCCCCTGCAAATTTTTGAACGATAATATATATTGTTGATGATTTAACAAGAGAGTTAAGACTGGATAATATTTTATACTCGATAAATCCAGAATACAATTTGCTCCAGAATGAATATGGACATATGAGGGCAAAGACAAGCATAAATAAAGCAAGATACGATAATAAGTGCCGACTTTTACATGAACGCATCACATAACCAATCGACACAGAATCATTCAAAGTGAACACATGATAATAAACACGTTATTCACACACATAAACCTCACACAATAGATTTCCTACATCTAAGGTATAATTGATTCAATACTTTATGTATTTCAAAAATTAGGTCAAAATTTTACATTTTTTAAAATATAAGCGAACAAAAATTCGATTAATTTTGAAAGGTATTCAGTTTCAACATTTACTTTCCTATTTAACATATTTAAGAATCAAATGACAGAATTTTTCTTCATACAAATTACAGACAGTTTTTGTTTCAGAGACACATGGCAACCCATTCATTTACCACTTTATTTCCTTTTGCAAGTGATGGTCATAGATCGCATATTAAGTGCATTTGGAAATTATAAAGATGAAAAGGCTTTTTAAACTTTCTACGTCTCTTGAATACCTGATCTCAATTATATATGTCAGCCAAACAAAAGTTTTCGACTATCCGTTATTTACTCTATCTGAGATAATCTTTCAATATAATAGCATCAACTTTTTTCTAAAAATGGATTTTTTTCACCTTTTAATTCACCTACGTTTTTTTCTAAAATAAAAAAGGTTTGCTTAATTTTGAGGCTAGAAACAGGACTACAATTTCTTGAGGAGATCGTGATTGTAAAGCGAAGAGATGTGCTGATCACTTATCATAAATGAATAGGCCAATAAGACAAAGCTTTTAATTTTCTGCTTTTTCAATCAATAAACCAGTCTTAAAGATTTATTACATCATATTAAGCAATAGAAGAAGTTTGCCAACACTGGTCCAGGATAACTGCTCGAATTGTTGATCGTGTCATTTTTCTCTTTTTAGTTCAACATTAAAATGACCCATGATAATATAACTTATATTTCCTTATATTAATAAATAGTATTTGAATACGACTAACTCCATTTAATCTCCACTATCATGTTCAGAAAGTATTGAATAGCAAAATAATTTACACTGCAAAGGTGTTTTTGCTATATGGTAATAGATCTATTTGAACTTGTTGAGATTAGAAAAAATGAAGATTCCTTGCTACGCCAATAACAAAATATCGTTGTCCTTTTAAGAGTTTGCAACGTTTCTGAGTGATGGACAAGCCCAGAGCGACTGGCCATCATAATGAACTCTACTGCATAATTACTGGGACTTATCATAAACCATATCAAGGTCCCAGACTCGTCAATGATTATTCCATTAATGTGATGAAGTATCTTGTTGAGCTACACTGGCAGTAAAGGGTTGACAAAAACGACAGCAGTCATCGGTCAACAAGATATCTTAAGACCCCAGATCAAGCCAAGATGACTCAAAACTGCGCATATAAAGAAAAAAGGCGAAAGATACGAAAGCAAATCGGCCTATCGCTCTAAAATCTAAATATTGTTGAGCATCGGAATAGAAATTGAACAAAGAGATTTTTAGAACGAGCGTACCGCACAATACTCTAAACGTGGGCATTCATGTTGGTTGAGAACAAATTAGACATTCGATTCTCTGATTTTTACATTCTCTTTGTATTTATAGGGCTTCCAATGAAAAATAAATATTTTTTAATGCCTAAGATTCAAAATTTTCAGTTATAAAATTCGTAAAAGCGTCACAGAGATGTGCTGCATTTTGCGAAAGCTCTGCAAATTTCCAGGACACTTACTTCATACAACATTGCAATTTATGAATAAAAAATAAGTGTCAATAATCTAAGGAAAGGAAACCAGCAGATCGGTTTATAGCTGTGGCAAAGCAAAAGGAACTACGATCAATATCGTATGAAAATATAAACTTAGCCAAACAAGCTATCCAATGCATCGGATACCCGAAAAAGAATAATGCAAGAAAAATTAGAAAATACCGTCGTGGTAAAGAGAGCCTGAAAAAATATAATTTTGATAAGAAACAAGTGTATTAAAAGAAAATACAAGCACCACACCATATACGTTATATTTATACTATTCGTCGTGTTTCTTTTCGCATTTTTGCCAGGAGAGTGGATGTCTCCTGTACATCGGCCACGGAGGCAAAACAACCTAAAAAATTAATTGCTAAACGCAGAACTTACAAGTATACAAATGAGGAGGCCCAAGCCAGTCAACCCAACACTAATTGACAACTGTTCCATTAAATAGCCGATAATAAATCCAATGAACTAAACTTATTATTATTGAAATATTTGGCATACACAAAATAGAATCAGAACAACGTTCATTATTCTTTCGGCTAACTTTTGGCCCTCTAGGTCCTTGAAAAGTTAATAAATTCAATGCAAATACCATAGAATATGTTTCACACAAATCCGATAATTTCTCTTTAAATGACTCAAACATTGTCTACGTACGAGTCCGCTTTGAAATATCCGCTTATATTGTCGAGTAAATCATTGGTCGAACGAGAGTTCGATTGTCATTTATAAGAAGTAAAAAATAGATAATTGGCATTAAGGGCTAAATAAATTAAAAAGGTGCATCTAAATTGTTACAGATAGTATATTATTATTACTTTGCAGTGATTGTAAGGGAAACGTTAAGCATTTTATTTTTCTTTTTTATTGTCTATTTTATAGGGTAATGTTTGGTGAAATGATTACTATCGTATTATTATATACTATTATAACTATTTTTCACCTCAAGTTTGTTATTCTAGGAGTAAAGCTTATTACAACAAAACAATATTTATTAGGCAAATAAATGCGGTATCTCAATAATGTTGATACTTACTTGTTCGCATAACAGGTGAAAAATTACCCTAAATAAATTGACAAGTTTTAAAACCATTCATCGGTTTTCGAAAATTTACTTCCCAATACGGAATTAAGATTCTCGAAACTTATAAAAGAATCTTTAAACTGAATACTTTAAAGCAATATTTAAATTAGTTTAATTGCCCACGTTGTGATTGACGCTTCTTTGGCATTACATAACTGACGCTAGGGTTCATTATATTCAAAACATAACTTTACCATAGTTTTAGCTTCTATAGTTTCGAGTTGACAGACGTCGGAACTTCAATAGACAGGGAATATTTATTTATCTCAAATGGCAAGCGCTTAGATAGTTATCATTGGCCCTTTAGTTGACTTCGGGCTCCACAAAAGGGAAGAACATTAAAGTGAGAAAATTCGACAAGGGAAAAGAAGAGCGATTAACAGATGTAAAAGAGACAGGCAGACACAAAGGTAGACAAAAGGTGAGGTGAGTACTGTAGAAGTGGTGGAGTATGAAATACAGTGGGGTCATGGTAGTTTGAAGTCGGAAGTCAACTGACGATTTATAGACTTCTTTGTTGTATTAATATACGTTGCCCAGGGTGCACCACGTGGAGGTAAGTCTATCGCACACCCCATAGACATGAAACATAATTCTAATTGCTCTGATCCTTTTCTGACCTTAATTTTGCATCTATCTTCGATTAAACTTAGCACATTAGTATGCCTTGATCTATAAAAAGTTGATTTCGGTATCCTGGTGAATGCCAGTTCATTGAAGGCGTTTATTTTAAAGCTGAAAACGGTTTACCTACATTTAAGTTAGTCGAGTTTCCCTTACTTATATCTTTTTTGTTCATATTTTTCTAAACCTAACGCTTTTCACGGATTTATTTATGTCTTGTTACCACCCCTCCTTTTATAAAATACCGTAATGCCAATCTTGATGGGTTTACATATCTTCATAATTTAAGAGAAAAATGCTTAGAAGATTAAACTTTAAACTATCCACTCCCACACACCAAATCATGAGTTCGGCTCCCAATTAATAAGCAACCATCATGTAGCTCTATCACTGCATGTGCTAATTATGATAATTTCATAAAAAGTTGGTTTGGATTGAGTTGGGTGTATTAGTTAGTGACAATAAACTATGTTCACTTTGCTCGATGGAGGACAAATAAGGCTGTTTTCAAGCATTAAATAAAAAGAATTAGGTATATAGAATATTTTTAACAGCACTTAAATATTGTAAGCGGAATTGAATTTGGAATGCATATTTATTCATTAATGGCTGAGGAGCGCGCAACACTGCCATGGCTGAACAAGGAAATCTCATGTGCACTCAGGTAGACTCGGAGGTATGACCACGCAACTTGTCGAGTAGGAAGCAAGTGTGGTCGTGAGCGCAGAAACATCACTGCTAGTCGACAGTAGATAGTTCCTGCTTGGATTAACAAACCCTACTTTGTATACAATGAATAAGATCCCTACCTGTAACACACAATCCAAACAACCATTTTCCTCGTGATACGTCTGTTTTCTCTATAGCCTTGTGATAGCTTAGCTAATTCTAGGAGCCTTTACAAACTAGATATAAGTTAGGTTTTATTAGTGCGACAATGAGATGTATAGTACAGTAGCAGGCATTTAACAGTAAGGCTCTCAGTAACATATTTGAGGAAATTGAATTTCGCTAATTAAATTCTTTAATTTATTGGGTTTGTTATAATCTTAGTTTTCCTTAGAAATTGTTCTAGTTACATGGACAATATGCCAATAGAAAAAGGCAAGAAGAACAAATAACCAACCAAAGTACTGCTCTTCTTTTCGTTGATTTACGTTATTGACCAATCGTTATCGTTACGTAAATATATTTATTTATTTATATCAAATGCCAGGCGTTGTGAAAGTTATCATTATCATGAAGGATTTATAACTATATTGAAGATGATGACGATTATGGGAGTGAAATTGGTCCAGAAGCGCATGCATTTGCTGTCAGACGAGACAACACTCGGATTGACCGCTCCGAGATACGAGCATTCAGTGTATCAAAGGAGGCCAGAATTGCTCGAATAGAAAACAGACACCGAAAATAGTTTTTTCACTGTCGAGGAAGGTCCGATGTATGCAGCAAGAATGGCAGATTGAATAAATGTAAGTTAAAAATATAATTTTATGAATTAGACTGCAAAATATTTTACTTGAAGCTATAAACATGTTTTTCTCAGAACTGTTTTTTTAATCGGATACCCACGATTTCTCAGATTCTGCCAAACCGATTTACTTGAAATTTTAAGAGAGTCTTCGTTAGGGACTTTTCTTGGTCCAGAACTACGGTCATCGCCAAATTTTTATTTTTACTATTTTTAAAAAATCGAAGAATGTTCAAAAAAGTGGTACAAAATGTTTTTTTCTTTAGACTGTCGCCATTTTGTGAAAAAATATTTCTATAACTTTCCGTAGTTCCAGACATAGTGATATTATTGTAGATTGATTATGATTGCTAGGAGAGTTAAAATCGTGGGTATGGTCACGCACCATATTTTTGAGACGCCCCACTCCATCAGCTGATAAATAACGGAATTTTACATTTTTTTCACTTTTTTATTTTTTTTGTATACTTCTAATGTGAATAAATAATGTATAAAAATTGATAATAAAAATATTGCTTGCTTTTTTACAGCACTTCAAAAATTACCTAAAATTAATGTCCCTAGACCAGAATACCCCCTTAAGCAAATTATTTAATGACGCTAATTAGTTTAAATGGTCTTCATGATTGGAAGCTTGTATCTTGCCTTTCTCTTTATTAGATCGACCTAATCATTGCGATTGGTATCTTTTCACATTAGTGGCACGTCAAATAAATAAGTGATTTTGATAACACAGGGGAACAGCTGCGCAACTTTCAAAGTTTACAAAATAATAATTTATACTCCCTTTTAGGAAAAGCCATTTTCATTCCCTGGTGGACACCATTGTTATAAAACTTCAAAGGGTAAAATTGTTTGTGCTGTGGACGGACGTTCTTTGAGTACTGTAGAAGTGGTGGAGTATGAAATACAGTGGGGTCATGGTAGTTTGAAGTCAGTAAAGTTAACTTTAAATGACATATCAATACTATATATCCAGTTGAAAAATCAAAAATTTGTTTTCAAAAATATGTCCAGAATGTTTATTATATTTTAAAATAACCGAAAGTTTTCTCAAACTAATAAATTTCCATATACTTTATTTATTTTAAATTTCACAATTGATCCAATTATCGTTATTTTGGGCAAAGAAATGATAATAATTTAAATCAGTACAAATAATATCACCAATAATACAGAGTTCAGAAGGTAGTGTAAACTCCCAAAAAGTACAGTGATGGGAAATATCTATTCGATACTAAGTGGAGTTCTTGAGGGACTTGGCCTGGGATAGTTCTGACATGACGTCATCGAAATCGCTGTTACTGTATGCTTCATCTTCACCTTTTCCCCTAGTCACATAGTCTGTGAAACAGACGCAATAAAACGTCGAGACGCAAGACATCCCGGATCGGATTCGGTCACTGAAAAAGTGTAAATAGACTAATGACAGGGAAAAACGAACAGTAAAGTATTTTTAGAAGAATTTTTGTGCTACTCCAGTTTAAGAAATCTGTAATTCTCAAACCAATGAGAACTGGCTGATGGAATCAGATCGTGAAATTAAGCTATTTTCAATAGCAACTTTTGTTTTAAAGATGGTCTCTAGAAAGGAAAATAGCATTTCCTACCTTTAAATAAAGTTCACTTAAGAAACTAACAGTCCTTGAACTTTTCGAGTTTTTTGTATTTGTATTAAATGCACGTTTCGCCTCTTAAAAGGAACATTTGTCCAATAAAATTAACATAGTTCCAGGTTGTTTATATAGTTAAAGACATTTTCGACAAGACTATTATTAGTGATTTTTATCTAGTATTCATTAAAGATATCGGTCATCACGCTCCATGTTACGTATTTAATTTTATATTATTAACTCGAAGAGCAGTATATTCTATGAACACAAGATATAGTGGTATTTGTGGAGTGCATAATGGTTCCAAAGCTATCATTGGAATCTCATTCTTGCTGAAATGGTCTATAAGCTTCAGAGTGGCATTGGGCGCAAAAAAAACAGGTGATGTTGTAGGTGCAGAGGCACCACAACCAATCTAAAGTGGATGCAATTTTGTGAAGTCCAAACTGCATTTGAATTACTAAGATTTGTGGTACTCGTTCATAAATTCTAATAAAGACTATTCCTTTCATATTCTCTCTCTCTCTCTCATTGATACCGTTGAAGTAGCTTATTTAGTTTAGGGAGCAATTTCAAACGAGGGGGTTTTGTCCGATTTTGTATTAATGTGCTATCTGTTACATGTTCTATTAGACTCGCTTTCAAAACTTACAGAAGCCACTCAGTAGCGTAGAGGAGGGAGACTTGTTCAACCGGGGCACCAACAGAAGCGAGAATTGTGTAGATGAGAACGATACTAGAACTTGGGATATGCGGAATGGCGATCACCAATGCGCACGTCAGAAGCCTGACAAAATTGATAAATAGTGTTGATAACTGTGTTGATAGTGTTGATAACTGTGCAATATGGAAAGTAAGCCGAATTGTAACCAGGATATTTTTAAATTGCATTATGTGAAACTCGGTAGGTAAATCAAAAATTTATTTGCCAAAATTAATTTAATTGGAAACAACTAAGTAAAGTTGTACGATGAAATAAATACTATGTCATGCCTCTACTCCTCCTAATTGTTCGCTATTATTTCTGTTAAGGGGTGTGCGATAGACTTACCTCCACGTGGTGCAC